TCACCTAACTACAAGAGGCGTGGCCCCAAGCTGCTGTTACAGTCTGAAATAACGGCACATATTGGTCCATAGAATTGGACTAAGTTCCGTAGCAGGCTGCCAACAGAAAATCGTCCAAAAGCAGCAGGAACAAAACCACGTGTTACTGATAACCCAGTGGGTGCGCCAGTCTCAATGAAATCACCATATATCAGTCAGCGTAAATTCACTGGCTTCATCCACACCATCCAACAAACTTCTGGTCTCTGAAAATCTCTCCTGCATGTACACAAATGCCCAAGACCTACTCAAAAATTACATGAAACTAAGATATGAATCAGCAGTTTACGACCTCATCACTATCGCGGAAACATGGTTACGCTGTGAGATAATGGAGGCCGAAATCGCACCAAAACGTATGTCCGTTGTCCGGTATGATTAGGCCAGCAAAAGTGGTGGGGTAACCCCCACTGTCTCAACAGCCAAGCTACAGTACGAATCCATACACGATTAGGAAAAGTAAGTGCTGACTCCATTTGGTGTCGCTTACTGCTTAGGGGAAATGACGTTGGCCTAGTGGCTGCCGCCAACTATCCTCTACACCTGAGATGGACTGAAATTTTGTGACTGCGTTGAGCCAGGTGATAAACAGGAAGTACGGTCACGTTCTAGTCGCTGGCCATTTCAACTTATATGCTTTAGAATCTTAGAGCACACTAGGCGAGCAGTTCAATGCAGACCTGTAAGACCTAGTAGCAAAATTTACCGCTTTATGGCCACGTTATTTCGCCCACCAGAATCAGGGGAAAAAGAGGCCATTCATAATGGACCTGTTATTCACTAATGAAGAGATCATCATTGAGAGTGATCAACGGTACTCCTCTAGGCCGCAGTGATCATACAACCTCACATTTCATATACACCTGATAAGCTGCATGCCCCCAGGACAGAACTCCAACAACACGGATCAGTTACGACACTTTGATTTGACTTGTTGAAGCGACCGACTGGAGGTTCATGAGGTAAGATGCACCGGATATTGTCTGGGAACGTTCCGTCAGTACATTTAACACCTTGGTTACTGCAGCATCGAGAAACATGGCGTCGTCTATACGGAGTAGGACACGTAATTGCATGGTGATGGGAAACACGGTGTGTTATGTCCACAAAACCGATCCGATTCCAAGTATCTGGAAGGCCTATGTTGTCCACCGTAACCACTCTACCTAACTAGTGCTTGAGAACAAAGTAGAATATCAACAGGCTTTAGCAGAACGCGTTAGTTCAATTATTAGCTTCCGTACAAGAACGTGAACAGCCGTCGCAGGGTATGAAGTGGATTTCCTTCTCTTCAAACTGCGGATAGTCTAACTCGGACTGTTAAGGAAGCATCAAATGTTCTGCAACAATAATATACGCCAACGTTTCATTGCATACTGTGATCTTCTGAACTTTTGGAATCTATACTGCTTCCACGATGATTCACTCATAAAAATTGTACGGCAGACATCGTGATGAAATATCTGTTAGCTGTGCGGCTACAAGCCTGTTCGGGAATCGACGACGCTTGTTGTGGAGGCCAATGTTTTGGCTGAACCATGGGTGCTGCTGGACCAGCACTTCCTTGATAACAGGAGCGCTCCTGCAAGGAGAAATATGGGATAATAACCACTTTTCAAAGAGGTAGTTGTTCCGACCCAGCTAATTATCGACCTGCGACTCTGCTGCCAGTACCCCCAAAAGTTCTGGAGGTTATCATTCTCGACGCATTCATGTTTTACCTTGACGGTTTTGGTCACATTGTTCAGCAGCAACACGGCTTCCGCCAGGATTATCCGCGCAGCATAAACCAATTGTTAGCACGAGACAGCTGTACTGAAACGGTGAATGCCGACGCATCAGTTGATGTTGCTTACCTTGACTTCTCTAAGGCATTCGATCCACTGAAGCTTCGTATCCTTCTCGCCCAAATTCAAGAATGTGGTACTGGGAGCCCTCTCCTCGAGTGATATGCAGCCGTCTCTTGGACAGGTGTCTGGAGGTGGGATTACGTGAGCCCACGCTGAATGCGGTGCCACTGGAGCCCCGTCTGTTTTTAGTCTTCATTAACGACCTTGGGAGCCAAATTAGGTCAACCTGTTTACTCTACGATGATGACATCAAAGTTTGACGAGCGATAAGAACTCCAGAAGACCGTATCCAGCTTCAAAACGATATTGACATGATCCATGAATGGTTGGTCCAAAATCACTTTCAATTCAATGTAGCTAAATGTTGAGTGCTCCAGTTACGACATCGAATGTTTCACAATTATAAGCTGGGGGATCAGGAACTGCAACAATGTTCTCAAAAACGAATCCCGATGTGCTGGTACATTGAGATCTCATCCGCTCAGAGAAGTGCGAAAAACCGTCGGAGAAGGGGATGCAAAGCATAGGGCCTCTACGGAGAGCATTTGGGCACTTTTAACCGTCCACTTTCCGCGTCTACTTCGCGTTTTCGTACGTCTTTCATACTGCCTTGAAGATTCCGCATTATCGGGCGACTAAAAATGTCAAGCGGCTGCGCCACCCATCATCTGAACAACGCCCGAGAGTGTTTGATAATTTCAATGAAAGCTACCAGCGTTTGAATGGTGACCTAATCATGCTTTACTAATTTATAAAAAGCATAATCACCCGTGCCAACACCAGTTGACGCTGAATCACAACAACAGATTGAGAGGTCATCATCACAAATTGGTAGCACATTACAGGCGGTTAGATTGTCGAAGAACCTTTTCTCGCTGTTTGTTTTCCATAAATGGGAAAGGAATCAATATCAGAAATTATTTCACGGTAAAGAATTCTTTTAGGTAAACTCTCATCAAACCCAAACGTTTACATATCACTTATTTCGGGGAAAGCGTCAACTCGGGCTGGGATTGACTCATGAACTGTATGAACGATCAAAATCGATGGTATGACAAGTGAAATAATTAAACATGCATACAATACGCAGTAGTCCTAAGTAATTAGGTAGGTAACGTAACAATCAAATAACTAACAGTGCCCGCTAACCAAGGTAGTAGTAACGGCCGTATGAATCGTTCTTGTACACATAATTCCGGCTTCAGATGGTGAATGTAGATAGCGTCGGTGATGCATAAGATCTATTTGCGGAATCCTCGGGAGAAGTGTTCAGGTAGTGAGTAGATGACTTTAAAGTCATTCGCTGAAGTAGTATAGCCACATTCAAGGAGACGCGACATGATTGAGCTGTCTGAGGACTTCAATTTGCCTTTGTAAAACCATGCCGCGATGTGCTCACGAATCCTCTGAGAGAGGTGCCTGGTCGGGCGACGCACGTATCGTGTACCACAGGAGCACAAATAGTGATAAACGACTATTGATCGGATCAACGACGGGGTTTTATAAGCAACGGATTTTGGTGAAAATCAATTCTCAAGACGGCCACGAAATAAATTTCCTCAGCAGCATCTTTCAGCCGTCAGGATAACATATCAGCTACACAATCGCCCTTAAGTGGTATATAAATGAAAAACTCTTTCTTAGGGACAATGCTCCTAGGCGGCTTTTGATTTCGTTCCTTCAAATGCTTCATGACAAATTTATCAGGATATATATATATATATGTTCCCTGGGGGCGTCGCTGATTCTCTGTAGTTCTTCGTTGACAGTATCCGGTGTACAAATATTCTGCGCCCTGAAGGCGAGAGATCTGATTAAACTCCGCTTATGTTGTAGAGGTACTGCGTTGCGGAAGTTAGTGTACTACCCAGTCCATGTGTGCTTTCTGTGTACCTTTCTGCTGCATTATCCCTCCTAGTTACGGATAATCTCTACATCTGCCTTTGGGATGTCCTCTCAGAAACAGTAATTTTAGCCCTTAAGTTAGCCGCGTGCAAAGCGCGTGTTGACAGAGCACTAGCCATACTACACTATATCACGTGATCCAAACGGCCCATACAAACAGCAGAAAAACAAAAACGACTCAATCCACAACTATTTTTCCCAAGCCACCACAGGTGATGTCCTTAGATAATGCATAAAACCAACTTTTGACAGCTTAGACGGGGGAACACTGTAACCGGCAAGTTGACATTTTGTGGTTGTCCACTATTTCCTGCTGTTATCTTTTGTCTTCATTTTTGCAACCCTAACCCATAATCCGGTGGGATATGTAAAGCTTCAGCTCTTTTGCTCCGTAACATATGATGACCATTAACATTGTGATCCAAAAGTGTCCCTTGTTACTCTATCTTTCGATCAGCAGAATAGGTGAGACCGTTCTCGTCCTCCTCATTGCGAAGGTACAGTTGTAGAAGACAAAGAACTGTAAGGTGATTGCAAACGGTTTAAGTGCTTTAAAGTTTGAAGTTGACTAAAATGCTAATGGCTGTCTTCCATAACTCGATGTATGTTGCTCACGTGCCTCCCTTCTGCTGCCAGAGATAGCAACAAGTGTCTTTCAACTTCCTCCTCTGACATTTAATACAATATAAATCTCCGCTGTAAAAAGGTATAAGATGGGCTAGATTCACCTACACTTGAATAGTTTTCCGGAATATTGAGGAATTGTGGATCTGTTATGAAAGTGAGCGACCAAGGAAAAGAAAAATGTTTGGATAGACAATTTCATCGTTAGGTCACAAAACAAACACGTTTGACAGTAACTGGCAAATATCAAATACCTCGTATTTTCCAATGGTAACCGGATTTGAAAGTGCAAAATACCATAAGGAAGACCGCAAATGGCTGTCCTAACAAACATTCTACTTCTAGTTCTGAGTGAAAAAATACATTTAGCATTCATTCGCATAGTGTCCGTTTGCTTGACAGGTTCACCGTAGTTTAATTGATCAGATGATTCATATGACATACGAATTACTGTATCAGTCAAAGAGCCAAAGCATAACGCTGGGAGGGAGTCAAGGTATATTTGCGTTATCGTTTGGGCAATTGGTCCAGTCGAAGAGAGCAATAAATAGGTAGTATATAACAAGTCTCACATACGCTTACCAAGATCGTAATGCTTCCTGTTATGACCACCACGTGATGAGCCATGTAGGTGAACAAGGGGAGTCGTTTGGTGTACCATATCATTGTTATAAGATCTGTAAATAGAAAAATTGAATCAACTAAACTGTTCGACCACAGATTGAAGATGACAAGGTACCTGCATACAGAGTGATCATAGTAATAAATGTCTTAACAAAATTAATATATCACTCGGCAGTATTTAACGAGTTATTAAGTCAATCAGAACATCTCCAAGCAGGGTAATGGTAGCATTCTGCAATCCGCTGTTATACTGAGCTACTGACACGTCACTGTTCCTGATGATTATTTTACCCAAGCTCAAGAATCTAGTCAACCTACATACGGGAGGATCCAAACAGAAGAATGGGAAACACAGTTGTTCCACCATACTCCAATAACCAACAGTTTATTTGAGAAACTACTGAAGAATGCTAATGAATAATAGGGATTTTTGATACGATTTCAGAAATAATTCGTCACAGTCCCCTCTCAGTCAGTAGGCTTCGACACTGCTGGAAAAGCACCAGACAGCGCTATTTCTAATTTCTGGGTTCGCCTTCCTAGGACGCCTGCTGGATTCCGATCCCAATAACTTCCGGATGCTATTGAGTTTTGGGTAACAGCGACTGACCTCATGACTGAGAGTTGACAACGATATTACCCAGCTCATCCTTCACTACGAACTGTGCAGAGGACAGTAGTTGACGATTCGCTGAGAAGAACAAATGGATGGCAGCAAGGTATTCTTGACAAGTGATCGTGCATCAACTGTCAATCGCAGTATCTAAACTACATTTGGGAATCAATCAATTCCAGTTATGCAGTAGGAATTCGGTTTCTAAAGATACACCGAGCGTTTGTTAGGGCACCTCACAAGCGGCTGTTAAAAATTAGATCCCATTGAGATTCGGGACCTATTGCTAAGTTGGATGTCGTCATATCTAACTGATCGCCAACTGTTAGTCACTTTAGGTAGCACGCTTCTCTCCACGACCTATCACCAGTGGGGTCATCCTAGGGAATACGCTTGGTCATTCCCTCTTCCTGTTTTACATCAATAACATCACTATGTTCGTAAAACATGGTCGGCTAATTGTATTCGCCGGCGACATCAAGATCGTTTATGAGCTGCGACGTGACAAACTTCAAGGAGGTTTGTTACGCATTCAAGATTGCTTCTATTCCCTTGAGACATGGTGCCATTCACACATGAAGAACCCCTTGGCTATAAATCAAACAACACGTTTTGCAGCTGTTCCATTCCCGACGAATCTATTTTACTCAACAGCGAACATATCACTACAAAACTGTCCAGGTGCCATCTGGGGATTAGGTACTCATAGGCCTTCAACTTCTCCGAACACGTCCAATACCAAGTTTCGTATGCCAGGCTATCTGTGGTTAATAGATCCAACAAAATCCATACAATCCATGCTATAGTAGAGGTTTTTAAGCTACCCACTCGCCTCATCTTCGAGTGCTGTAGCGTACTATACGGCAAAATGAGAATGAGCGACTGGATCGCTCAGGAGCATTCGTAGATGTCCCTTAGTAAATATCGGATTGATAGTTGTTCCTCTATGGATTAGTGGGAGAGTTGCAAGAAGCTTCAACTCTTCCCCAGTTTAATACAACCATTGAAGGATAACCAGTGACTGCAGTAAAATCTGTTACATAGGAAAACCGATTCTGATCTGTTTAAACTCGAAATGCAACCTAACTCGAGAGCTACACAGCAAAGATTCTACGCGAGTTAGATCAAAGGCTAGATGAAATATTCGCTCAAATTGCGCCCTGGTCAGCTATACCTATATGTTAAACAAACCGGCGGTCACACACAACTCATGCGGAAATGTGGCAACATTTATTGACAAACTGACAAGTTATCTTGACCTGAATATTGTAATGGATTTATTCAGATGGAAAAATCCCTTGATGAGCTATTCCAAGCGTGGCCCAAAAGCATCCAAAAGTCCACGTTTCCAAACTTCCGCTTCCACCCCAACTATCCACCAACATGCTTGTATACGAGGCTAGTGTTTCCATATTGCACATATGCTTGTTGCCAGTGCAAGATTATGGTTACCATCGTCCATAATGATCTGTGCCACTACAGGCAGCTTCTATCAGCTCATGAGGAATATTCGTATCATCGTTGTTTATGTTACTGTCTTTATTTATTATTAGTACAATTATTAGTATGTGGATTCAATATTCTATTAACTGCTAATCTTTGTCAACTTTGAGACGTACGGTGCGGTAATGGGAACATGCGCACACCGACAACCTTCTGGAGTTCGGTCTTGCATCTCTGTTGAGGTGCTGATGCCGGAATTCAACCTTTTACTGTCCACTTGCAGTAGGACTGCTTCATTTGACGTGCCCAGTTTACCCGAATTCATGGTAAGAGTTCCTCGCTGCTCGCAACACCCACCGGAGTTCTTCAAGACATCATACTGCTGAATGCATTAAAATGCAATAATTTACTTTTTCCATACCCAAAGGTCGTCCTTGTCAGCAACTTTTATGGACTGTCCTGAACTTCACATCGATGGCGAGAGATTGCACTCCACCGAATCAGTGGAGTTATCTTGCTTTGTCAATTCATGTTAATGAAGTCTAAGCACGTTCACATTCCTGCTTTTTCTCCCGCTACTTAACACAAGATCCTGACCCCTGTGATATTTCTTAATTTTCTTGGGAAGCATTTCAAATGCATCAATAAGTCGTTGACGCAACCCTCTCGATGTACGGGCATTCCAATCCCTTCCTTCTTTGACTCTCGTGTGTCTACTCACTATAGTTCATGAGAGCTTTGCTTACGTGAACCGGCGTCTGAGACCTACAGGTGACATAGCATTGTTAAAATGCTCTGACGAACAACCTCGGACTTCCATCGCTGAACATGCATCCGCGTTGACAACGCACAAGGCTTCCGTATTTGCAAGTGAACTTGCATATATATCAAGCTAGATATGTGCAGCCCTATGCAAGTTGAGAGCCTGGATAGTGGTGTGAAAGAGGTCCGCAACCTACTTGGCAGTACTGACGGCACAAAGCCTGTTGGTCCAAATGGGCCTCACCCACTGATCCTCAAACCGCTGTCGATCATCATCTCGCTCGCTGTGTCTGATCTGTTTAACAGATCGCTGTCCGAAGGTACGTTGGTGAGAGATTGGAAATGCTGGTCATTGAGACCGATTTCGAAAGGCTGTAACCAAAGAAATGTGGACAATCACCAGCCAACTTCTCTGACCTCCGTTTGGACCAGAGTACTCGAGAGGATTTCGCCACATAGCGTGCTGAAGCTACTGAAGGTGATAAACCTGACGCCCGTACCGCACGGCTTCATAAAGGGACGATCCTGTGCCACAAATCTTCTGTTGATGCGACATGTATGGTTGTAAGCCCTGAACCGGGGGAATCCAGAAGATGCAATAAACATCGGTTTCAGTAAAGCTTTCGACAAAGTGAACCATGTGGTCCTCCTCAACAACCTCATGATGTTTGATGTTAGTGGCTCCCTACATCACTGGATCATTGGCTAGCTTATCAGGCACAATTAGAGGTCATAGGTACACGATCACAAATTAACTGGCACCCCTCCAGCAAATGGGTACCCCGAGGCACAATGCTTGGGTTCATTTTGCTTCTTACCCACATCATCGGAGGATCTAAGCAGCTTCGGTCGCCTTGTATCTTATTTGCAGACGATCTGAAGATTTGGAGAGTAAAAGATGCTTCTGATAAGTGACGTACTTCATGTAGTCTGCAGAAGTCGATCTACCGATCAACGTTTGCAAGTCGTTATCCATGGAGCTTAGTATGGGTGGTGATGGGCGTACATTCACTCTGGTTGGCCAAGCGCTACATCCCACACCAGTTAGGGATCTTGGCGTACTCTGGCGCTGCAATGTGAGGTCAGTAGATAGCACGACCAGATTATATGGAAACGGACTCCGCATGCTTTGGGTGTTCCAACGCAACTTCTACATTTTTGTCTGAAGAGGTCGCCACTCGCCTCTACTCGCCCATCATAAAACTGATGCTCATATACGGATCTCCCGCTTTTTATCCGTTCATCCGTGGCGAGGCACAGTGACTGGAACAGACTCAACATGCAGCTACCAGACTCACCCTCAATTTACTGGATGTTGTAAGAAGACCTATGCAGACGACTAGAGTGGTACACCCAGTCGTATCATCGGTTCGAGTGGACTTCACAGTGACTCACCGAATATTGCATCTGGGTCAATTCCCAAAGCCGAAGACACTGCTGCGCGCAGCAAGTAGTACTCGTGGACAACAGTGCAAGCTCATAGTGCCAGATCTGAAACGTGTAGCTTACTCTATAGACTTCGAGCCGCTAGTGGTGAACTATTGGGTCAGTTTGCCTGAGAAAATCGTCGAGGCGAAATCGTTGTCTGAATTCAATCAGTTAGTAAACACCCACTTTGCAAATCTCCGATTTATGGAGTGTTTTGCATACGGATAGCCTATGGCGCAGCCGTAGTATGCTGCCAACAAGCATGAATCAGTAGGAAGCAGTAGTTTGACCTACATGCGCTCAGTAACCACACGACAGCAGATTACTATGTCCGTTTACGCCTACTTAAAAGTGGAATTTTACTCAGACTACTCACATTTAATTCAGTAAATAGTCATTTCGGGCAAGCTCCTCAGCCACAGATAATGCAGAAATCATAGTAGGTCCCAAACTTCTGGTCCCTACACTGTTAATGTGCGACAAAGGGTCATTCCTTCGGGTGTTAGGTAGAGCGCACTAAATTGCCGACTGTAGAATAGTAGATGTTGGTCTATCTCAAAATGTCTCACCTGGTCACAAGGGTGGGAATGACTGGTATGCATGCATCTGGCTACACGTGTACTTGCCAGTGTCGTCGTGAAAACGCTGGACCATGCGCGGACGGTTGAGTTAGACTCAATCTACGGCACGCCCCAAGGAGTTCACTGATCGACATATACGGTGTGTCTGGGTGGGTGGAACGGAGACAGGCGTGCAAAATGGAAACAGCAGTGTCTCAGTAGCCGGCTACTGCGGT